GTCGGGGCACTCTGCCCTAAAGCCCCGACTGGTGGAGGGCTGCAGTGATGGTTGACTTTTTACAACTTTCTCCCATCTCCCGACTGCATCTCTGGAGCTCAGCCACAGTCATCTTTGGGTTCTTCTGTACCTCTCTCACCAAGGCTCTTCTCCCCCGATAGCTCAGTTTGGCCGGATGGCCAGCTCTAGGAAGGGTTCTGGTCGTCCCAAACGTCTTCCATTTAAGGATTATGGAGGCCACTGTGCTCTTAGGAACCTTAAGTGCAGCAGAAATTTTTTTTTGTAACCTTGGCCAGATCTGTGCCTTGCCACAATTCTGTCTCTGAGTTCTTCAGGCAGTTCCTTTGACCTCATGATTCTCATTTGCTCTGACATGCACTGTGAGCTGTAGGGTCTTAGACAGGTGTGTGGCTTTCCTAATCACGTCCCATCAGTATAATCAAACACAGCTGGACTCAAATGAAGGTGTAGAACCATCTCAGGGATGATCAGAAGAAATGGACAGCACCTAAGTTAAATATATGAGTGTCACAGCGAAGGGTCTGAATACTTATGACCATGTGATATTTCAGTTTTTCTTTTTTAATAAATCTGCAAAAATGTCAAAAATTCTGTGTTTTTCTGTCAATATGGGGTGCTGTGTGTACATTAATGAGGAAAAAAATGAACTTAAATGATTTTAGCATATGGCTGCAATATAACAGAGTGAAATTTTTAAGGGGGTCTGAATACTTTCCGTACCCACTGTAATACGTTTATAAAAAGTTTATGCTTAATATGTACATTGATATTGGTACTGATATTAAATTAAAAACTTTGAAGAGGTCAATGGTTTTGGTTAGTGTTTGATATAATGTTTTAAGTGTGACGGTGTTGGAACAAATTGCTCAGATCAGATTGTTAAAAAGTTGTAAAAGATGGTGATTGTCATATGAAAACATGGAATGTCATATTCTTTAAGTACAATTACCTTACCAAAATGTTTATTATGATCAAAACAAAAGTCAGTCCAAAATATTGTCACATGTACACATTGAAAAAATGTGTTTTAGAATTTCTAGCTCGTTGCAAAATGAGCTTTTTCTTCTATGTTGGGAATGTATTTACAAATAATGGAGTTTAATGGGTAAGAAGAAGGAGAACTGGGTAAGTCCAGACAATTGAACATGTATTATTAGAATGTAGGAAGTTTAATATAGAAAGAGAAATATTGAAGGGTATAGTATTAGAAATTGTCAGAGAATAGAGTATTAAAGCTCTGTTGGAGATAGTAGAAAAACCATATCAGATATAAAGAGGTACAGTTAGAAATATAAGCTCACAAAGCCATGCCGGTGAAGTAGGTGGCGGTATGGTCTGTAGCCCGCCATTAAAACACAGGAAAAGAGAGGAGAAGGAGGAAGAAGACGACGACGAAGCAGCAGCAGCAGCCGAAGAAGAAGAAGAAGAAGAAGAAGATTAAGTGAAGTTAAGCCAAGCCAAGCTAAGCCCTGCAGAGCAGACAAACAGATTTCCGAATTTAGCTAAGATAATCGATCGACGAAGCCTAAATGGATTTACCTAAGCAGGTAAACAGTGCGTTTTCTACCGTTTAGTATACGCTGCCAGAGTAAAACTAGGGTTTCAACAATGGCGTACGTGAAGGAGGCTGAATCTACACGATTTAATTGAGAATAGTGCAACGCTAGTGAACGTTAACGTCACTTAACTCAACTGGTTAGCTATCCACTGCAGAAGCGGTGAAATATCTGTTATTTTTGTATGGTGTTTAACTAATCTTAATGACAACAGTCCCTCGTAGTGTGTTGTGGTATTTCTCATTAACCGGCTAGCGTTAGCAGTAAGCTAACGTTGACTGGAGTTTACCAGAACATTCTAGCAGCGGCATGTTAACATTAGCCACCATGACGTTAAGCTAGCTAACGCCAAATCCCACTTATTCTTGCGAGAAAAACGCGTGTTAAGAATTTGTCACTGTGCCGTCGGGGTGAAAGCGAAGAGATTTAGAGCATAAGTACAACATATTATATATTTTTTGCTATACATATAAGCTAATCAGAAAATTTTGGTATATGATTATACCGGCGTTTTTTTTCTTCTTCCTTAACTGAATTGAAGTTGCGCGTGAAAACATCTGTCTGCCAAATGTAGCTAGTTTTTTGGACTGTCTGGATTTACAGACAACCCCCACTCTCTTCTCAGTGGTTTAATTCTTTTCCCAATACAGATCAACCAGTTGGAGGCAGATTTGCTGGAGCTGCGGTCACTCTTGGAAAAGTCAGAGAGGAAACGGGTGCAGGAACTGCTTAAACAGGAGCAGCAAAAGGTGGAGAAAGAGCTTGAAGTCAAACGACAACAGAACGAGCAAAAGACCAGGAGAGAGGCAGACTCATCTGCTGCCTCCAAAGCAGCATACACAGTCAAGATCACCAACTATGGTATGGTTCCTTTTGTTTTGTGAAACAGCCATTTATGTTTGCATAAGAGCTGAAAATTTATTTGAAAGTTGTTCACCCATTTTTATCTTCTGTGCAGCTTGGGACCAGTCAGAAAAATTTGTCAAAATTTACCTTACATTGAAAAGTGTGCACAAAGTTCCTTCGGAAAATGTGGAGGTCAACTTTACTGAAAGGTACAGTGATGCACATATAAATAATCTAATGTATAGTGCTTAGAATGTGTTAAAATTGTAATTGCTTATTTTGTTGCAGGTCATTTTCTGTACTAGTAAAGGATCTCGATGGGAAAAACCATCAGATGACCGTTCTCAATCTCTTGTATCCCATTGATGAAAAGAACAGCTACAAAAAGGTGAATGAACCTGTACATCTGTTTAGAGGGTTTTTAATTTTATTCATATAAAAAGTGACAAAAATGCATTCTGATGTTCATCATTAATAGCTGTAATCAATGTCTTAAGGCTAATGTTCCGGTCTTATCAAACCAAAATGGCTACCTTGTTGTATGCAGTCTCATTATTCACATTGCATTGTTTGATTAGCCAGTTTCTTAAAAAATATGTCACTGTTGTTCTGAAAGGCCTGTAACCACCTTTTCTCCCTGCAACAGATAAAAACAGACATGGTCCTGGTCATGTGCAAGAAGCAGACAACAAAGAAATGGGACTGTCTAACAAAGGTTGAGAAGCAGTCTAAAGAGAAAGAGTAAGTAATAATAATAATGAGCTTAAGTTTCAACAATTTTCATTTTAACTGAGGTTGAGGCCAGTGCATGCTGAAATGAATGTCCATAAAATGCCTCACTGGCAGGACTAGCTGCATGAGGAGTAACCTGAACCATGATTTTCTAACCATTTGAAACCCTGCTAGTTTTCAAATGCACACCTGCCCTTTCATCTGTAGCTCTTTTACAGTTACCCTGACATTAAAGTGAAGTGCAGTACCACATCTGTGTACCAGATGGCAATGTGTATTAGGCAGTGATTACATGTTGATTAAGCACACATAATATGAGAACTGTCATCCAAACAATTCAGAAAAACACATTTGCCTCTCCACAGCAAACCCAGTTTTGATGAGAATGCAGACCCCGGTGAGGGTCTGATGAGTATGTTGAAGAAAATTTATGCAGAAGGTGATGACGAAATGAAGAGAACCATCAACAAAGCCTGGACAGAATCCCAGGAGAAGAAAATACAAGGGGAAGACATGATGGGCTTGTGAACTGCACTCACTGCTCTTCCACAGCAGCACCAAGTGAAAGCTTCCAGGGCTGGAGCTGACACGACTTGAATAGGAATTGTTGTTGGTTGAAACTAAACCCAATATGCATGTCATATTTCCACAAAATCTAGAATTTATGTGTACAACTCATAAATAAGGTGAAAGGAATAGTGTTTATTTGGTCCCGTTTTGGAAACCAGGCTGCTGTCCTCTCAGCAATCATGATGCAAAACCCAGTCAGTGAATTGCAAGGAACATTCCTATACACTTACACCAGATGGCAACCTAAACACAGCAACAAATTGCACCATGCCATCACTGTTTTTGGTTAAGGCTGACACATAATGGACCCCAGATAAATGGTTGTCAGTTTAATTGAAAAATGTTAGTTCAGTGCAGCTAAACTGAAGTGATATGTCAGATGTGTTCAAGTGTACCTTTGCCAAAGTCACAGTCTTAGAGCACAACAAAAACAACCAGCGGGTTCTTCTGTTTATTTTTAGTCTTCCTATCAGCCTTTGATAATCTTTTGTCTTTTCACAAACACAGTACAGCAGATAATTGCTGCAAAGACAGTGCTACTCATGCATCTGTCCAGCGTAATGCTAGATGTTAATGCATGGGTCAGATTGAAGGTTTTGTGCATTTTACTCATTCCAGTTGCATAGTGTAATGCTCTGAGACAGTCTTTTTTTATATTCCTTAATGCAGTTTGCTTCTTCTTTGCTATTAACTGTTATGGTTGCACTGTTCATTTTGGTTTTCTTTCCAACATTTGTGAATATGTTTTAAAAAGTCATTTTTGGTGTTTGTCCTTGCCTTACATCTTGACCACCCTCTGGTCTTTCATGCAGTTTTCACAAATATACCTCCTGAACTGAGCCATCTTTGTTTCTTATATGTCCTTTGGTTTCACAGGCAGAATAGATTGTATGGACTTGGACTACTTTCATTGTGTCACTGTGAAGAGCTTGACTTTTCAGTAGTCAGTTTAAATGCATCTTCACAGAGGTACACATAATTCATTAAATCATAAATAAATGTGTTCCAGGTAATATGTGGTTTAAATAGCTACTGTGGTTGCAGCATGCCCTTTGATGGTTATAGACATCAACGTTGTAGACCACTGAATAAGGAGAATTTTAAACCATTAACAGTGGTCCCACGGAGCATGGGCTTTGGAGTTAAGGGTTTGTCCACCAGGTGGTAGCTGTGACCGGTCTCTGTAGGGACAGGATGAGACAACCCTGCTGGATTTTTTGTTGGTCAAGTTTGAGCCTTTACTTCACAGAACTTATGCTTTGGGTAAAACAAAGAGGTGTGAAAGGTTTTTGTGGTTACAGTTTTGCTAATTTAACTTTAATGCGCATTGCAGTATTTTATGATCTGCAAGTTGTTCAGTGTGCTATTTGTAACACTCAGTAGTCTATATAGGAATCAATACGTCAAACTGGGACTGATGTAGGCTAATGCACAAAAGTCTGGTATTGTATGTGTCCATGGGGGGAGGGTTGCTTATTGGTATCAAGAGAGAATAATTTAGACTGGTTAAGATATTCACGCGTATTTCCTGACATAATCTCCCTAAATAGACCAAATTAAGAGCCCGGGTTTATTTCAGGAGATTTAGTCAAATTGGTAAAACTTTTTAAAATGACCATTACAACAAACACAAGCCGGCGTTTCACACTCCGCACCGCCTCACAACAGTCCGTTGCTCATTCCAATAGACTGGAGGTTAAAGATGAGAAACAGTGGAAACCCCCCTGTCCGGGTTACAGCGTGTCATTGCCTGCACAGCAGCAGCACTGACACATGAGCTATTGCCAGCCGGGCAGATTCTTTTTTCATGAGGTGTTTCATTCATTTTTTTCTGAGCTGCATTCCGGATAAATGTGTGATTGAGACTCGGAACGAATCGCTTGGACTTTCTCCACCAGTGCGCCACCTCCCCCCGCCCCCTGCTCCGTGACGTGGACGCTCGCCTATATATCCGCATTGAGGCGAGCCCAGGTAGCCAGATGGAATAGTTGGAGACATTGTTATCCACCGGACCTACTAAAACCAAAACAGAAAGGGATTTAAATATATAAACGAGTTGATTTTGTTATAGGTGGGACACATGGATACCGGCTGTTTCACCGCGGCGCAGCGTTTTTCGTGCCACACCATGAATTCGGATTTATTTAAGCCTTTTCCGGAGCGTGGACCCCAACAGTCCTCAGCCCCGGTGAAAACCAGCAGGCATAAACATGACAAAACCAGAGCTCGGACAGGTTGTGACCGACTCCAAGACAGGAAAATCCTACAGTAAAGGGAAGCTTCTGGGAAAGGTACGATTAAATTTTACATGTGCTTGTCTCGCTTCACAGCTGGAATCATTTTGTGGCGTTTTATCTGACGTGACAGATTGATCTAGAATCACAGTCTGAACCTGTGCTTTAGGTTAATAAGAAGGCAGTTGGTGATTACAACTCATTATCAGCTATTTGCCTGGTAGATTGCTAATACAATATGTACTGACCTCGTGGTGCTGTGCGTCTTGCTCTGTGAACCAGGCGCAAGGCGTGCCCAGTGAGCGCACCCATAATTGGCAACACCTTATTGAAAACCCAAGAACTAGGCTTCTATTTACAGATGTATCTTTGCATTTTAATGATGTCTCAGACGATTATTGAACCGAAAATCAATCTATCGATCTCTTTACATAGCATGTGCGGCGTCTGAATATACCGACTGTATCAACGTGTTGCTCGTCATCGCTGTGTTCGGCGGGCAGCCAAGCCTCTCTCTCTCTCTCTCTCTCTCTCTGTTTCTCCCACTCTCTCTCTCTCTCTCTCTCTCTCTCTCTCTCTCTCTCTCTCTCTCTCTCTCTCTCTCTCTCCATCTCTGCTGCCTGCCGCAGAGCTGGAAATGTCTCCGTCCGTTTCACGGTTAATGAATGCAGCATCAGACTGCTCAGCCCCCCTGTCCACAAGCTAATCTACTCTTCACTGCGTCAAGAAAACGCAGGAATAAACAGCAGTAAACATGGCTTTTGGGGTTGATGTTTTGATTTTTAGAAGCTCATCACAGCATCTAAGGCAATACAGGATGCTGCTTGCCTTGATTATGTAACGACGCATGTGAACTGATTGAACCTTTCTTATTAATATTGAATTCTCCATTGGTTATGCATTTATCATTCGCCTCCTCATCAGAAATCGGCTACATAACCTTTGAATAATTTTGGTGACATGGCATTTAGACAGATTATTTATTATGGCCATTGCAGGTTTTCAACCTGCTGCTTTATTAACTATCCTGTTTGTGTCCTCCAAGGGTGGCTTTGCTCGATGCTATGAGATGACAGACCTCTCCAACAACAAAATGTATGCTGTGAAGGTGATTCCACAGAGCAGGGTGTCCAAACCACACCAGAGGGACAAGGTACATAATCCTACTCATTTGTTTATCAGTGTGACTAGCAGAGAATCCCTTGCAATACCTCGATTCAGTGTCTGGATTGTGGTAGGATGGAAGTATGGTCACAGATTGACTGACTGTTTTTGTAAAAATTTGACAGATTACGAATGAGATTGAGCTGCACAAAACCCTGTCACACAAGCATGTGGTGAAATTCTCCCATCATTTTGAAGACCATGAAAACATCTACATATTCCTCGAGCTTTGCAGTCGGAAGGTGAGACTTCAGAACTCTCTAGAACAGCCTGCTCAGCTTGCATGTGTTTTGCTTTGCTTGTACATGTACAGCTTGCCTTGTATAGCTGCACAGTGGTGCAATAGAAACATTACCGAATGTATTCTGTAGCATTAGTTTGGTTTTCTTTAGTGTGTTCATATTTTACACTCAAGCAGTATTGATATAATACTCCTAGGTACCCACCTGATTTACAGAAGCCTGGCTTTGCTATGCTACTGCGGCTGTGTGTGTGATGCATGTGCGTCAGTGTGGTACGGTCCCCATGACGGATGCAGGGTTGACGGTTCACTCATTGCTCTCTCTGCAGTCCCTGGCACACATTTGGAAGGCGAGACACACACTTACAGAGCCAGAAGTGAGATATTACCTTAGGCAGATCATATCTGGCCTCAAATACCTCCACAGCAAAGGCATCCTACACAGAGATCTCAAGCTAGGTATGTCAGCATATGATCGACATATGGGTTACGCATACAAGCGTCCCAGGAATCTGCTGTGATTTCACACAAGCGTGTGCTATCCGTGGAATGCTGACTGAACAGACTGTTTTGTTTCTTTCAGGTAACTTCTTTGTCAATGAGAACATGGAACTGCGGCTGGGAGACTTCGGCCTTGCTGCCAAGCTGGAGACAGTCGAACAGAGTAAAAAGTTAGTTTTTTTTTGTTGTTTGTTTGTTTGTTTGTTTGTTTGTTTTACTATTTTTCTCTAAATGACTTGTTCTCAGGCCTCTCAGAACAGAAAATAGCTCTTGGAACAATTTCTCACTATTATACACCAATTTGTAAAGTTTATGAAATTAAAAACCAGCCACATCCCGCTACTGACCATTATAGTCTTAGTTTTCTAGGCTTGTAGCAACATTCTTCCTCCTACTACTTTCCCTCAGTAAGTACCTAACTAAACCGGTTTCCAAGTGGCAGTTGAATGTAGCGCTTAGATCAGAGTTTCAGTACCTGTTTGACACTTTCCTGTGGAATACTAGATGAATAGCTGACTGTGGCAGGAAAAAATACTTCAACCACTACTTCCTTGCCTGTGTGAAACATCTCTAAAACACAAAACTAATTGAATAGTTTGAATCAAATTATTATTATTATTTTTCCCTCAGGACAATTTGTGGGACTCCCAACTACTTGGCCCCCGAGGTGCTCAACAGACAGGGCCATGGCACAGAGTCTGACGTTTGGTCCCTCGGATGTGTCATGTGAGTTGTTCTAATTTAAACCCAGAGTGGTTTGTTTTGTCAAGTCAACTGGAATTAGAGGTTTTGTTTTTATCTGGGCTTTATCTTGTTTCACATGGTATGCAAATGACATCATTGCGCTCAAAGAGTAAGACTGTAGTTGGGATGATTAGTTTGTCTGAGCTGACCAGTGGTTGCTTTGGTTTCTCCTGTTCAGGTACACACTTCTATGCGGTAACCCGCCGTTTGAGACTCTTGACCTGAAGGAGACCTACAAGTGTATAAAGGAAGTTCGGTACAATTTGCCCTCCACGCTTTCCCCTGCTGCACAGAAACTCATTTCAGGCATCCTGCAGAAAAACCCCAGCGACAGACTGACGCTGGATCAAATTCTCACCCATGAATTCTTCACCAAAGTATGCAAAACTCATGTTAATTTTCTAAGTTTATTGAAGCAGTAATTGAATGCTAATGCTTGTTGTGCTCACTCAGAGTGGGCTGTGTGCCACCTACTTCCTTTTGCCATCTTCCTCACCCTCTTGTCTGCTTGCTCTTCTGCCTCTTCTTCCTCTAGGGTTTCACTCCGGATAAGCTTCCACCCAGCAGTTGTGTGATGGTGCCAGAGCTCCACCCCCCCAGCCCTGCCAAGAAATTCTTCACTAAAATGGCAAAGAGCCTCTTTGGCAAGAAAAAAACAAAAGGTAAGCAGCAGCGCTGCAGTCAAGTGACTGCCAGATAACCAGGTCATCAGAATTGCGTGCCACTGGTTAGTTACATATTTGTCCTTTCCATGCCGTCTTAATTTGGTTTCATCTCCTGAGAACATGTTTAAGCTGAAGAATAGGATTGTAATGTTTAAGTTTTGCTTCAGGCTTTTCCAAGAACTGCTGGCAGTATTAAAATGCTTCTGTGTTTAAACACATTTGTTGCGACTATAATGAGAATCTTATTCTTGCAGTGGAAAAAATTCCATGCGAGGAAAAAGACGACAAAGACATTTCCAAGCTGGTGTCTGGAATCGTAAAATGTTCCATCAACCGGCAGATCAGTTGCAAGACAGTGGGACCCAATGAGGTACTTTTTTTTTGTTTGTTTGTTTTGACCTTTTCCTACTTCTATAAGAAAAACCGTTGGCTTTGTTTAACTGAAACAAACTACTAATTAGACGGCTCTCACAATAGCTCTCAGCTGGGAGTGGGAGGAAGTATATGTTTGATGGCAGACAACATCCCTTATGCCTAATAATTGCTTTGTAGCCAACCTTTGAAATAAGCTTAAAACCTTGCAGCATGTGTATTTAAACAGTAAAACCATTTTATAAATTGCACCGCATGGAAATATGGGGTGGGGGGGGGGTTTTAGGGAGAGCTGGAGCATTTACTCAAATTAGCCTTGCACATAACATCATAGGCTGACTGGATATAGGACAATAATATTATTTGAATAATGGATTATTCTTTGAATTATACAGGATGAGACTTTATCTTAAAAGGATTTAGAAGTTTTGATTTTTGGTTATGAGACTGAAGTATAAGATCTTGTATTGTCTGCTGACAAGCTAAATGACTTTTGGCGACAAGTGAAAGTCACAGGAGAAACCTGATACTGTTCATGTTGTTTATAGCTGTTAATGTTTAGTGACTCACATTGTACATTTAGACTTATTGAGGCCAGTGTGAATCTGAGCAAAATTTGTTATAGAAATTTTTCCCCTACTATAGATAATCTCTTGATGTATTCTTTAAATAAATTCTGACTCGTATGAAACGAAACGCCACAACAGCAGGAAGTTCAGCCAGCCGATCCCTAATTAGACTGGTTAGGTCTCTCTATTTATAGAGGCCAGTTAAGATGACGTCATTTGTTCTTCAGAATTCATGTCTTTGATAATGCGACCGTGCTAAGAAACCAGGTTGTGAAAGTAACGGGTTGGCTTTTGTACATAGAGTATGTTTGCAGAAAAAGATGACATACCAACAGATTTCTGGCAGTTTAACTTTGAACATCTTCGTGGTAACATGACTAGGGGCATTATTCTTATAGCACACAGAAGGAAACCAAGATACTAAAAGTGGTTTCACCTCGGCTCAATAAGCAGTTAGATGCTCAAGATTAAATTGTTCAGAACTAGCGAAGCAACAGCAGTTAAAATTGTTGCAGAAGAGGGAAAAAAAGACCAGTGTCACCATAAGTGATGAACAAGCTTTGATCATACATTTCTGTGATGACTTATTTTGTTGGCTAATTTTTTTTCCCCCTTCATCCTCTACTCTTATTATTACTTTGCTCATATCATGAATGTGTGTTAAAACACATGTTGTTGCTGCTCAGGTGCCCTCTCCCACCGGCCAGCTGGTCAGCTCTGTGCCTCTGGAACAGACTCCTGCTGAGGAGGAATCCAGGAAGTCGATCTCTCGTTCGTTCAAGGGCACTATGGCCAGCAGCACCGAACGTAGGTTTCACTGAACTGAGTTTCTATAAATGTTCAGTTCTCTTGTGGTCAGTGTTTCACTTAATCTGTTTTCTCTCCAGCATGTGAAGATGTCTTGACGCCTGCAGCTGTTGCTGACTCAGCCATGAAAGTTCTCAACAGCTGCCTGGCTAACATGCCTGCAGGTACGTGTGTACAAAGCAGGCCGAGACAAAAGACTGCAAGAACATTTTTTGGTTTATTGCTAAATAATGTTGAGCATGTCAAGACAATGAGTAGAAACTTTACCACCAGAACAGCTGTCACTTAAATCTTGTACCTTGAACCATCCCTTACTTTGTTGCAGTAAACTGTGAATGATTCTACATCATTGTAGTTTGATCAGCCAGATGTTTTTCTTGCCTCAGCCAACATCTGCTGACTCGTATCCCAGAACCTTTTAAGTGTATAGCTTTTCTAACATAAGGTCTTTGCTGACTGATGGACTTTGGAAATCTAAACATCACATGTCCCTCACATGTTGTCTATCGTTCCCTCCAGCCACCAGGAACCCGCCCTGTCTGTCCAGGCCACACTCCTTCCTGTGGGTGACTAAATGGGTTGACTACTCCAACAAATACGGATTTGGCTACCAGCTGTCGAACCAAACTATTGGTGTGCTCTTCAATGAAGGAACACACCTCAGTCTTTGTGACCAACGCAAGTAAGTACCTTGAAAGCTGTGGTATTTACTTAAGGTGTCATGTACAGCTGGTTTAATACTGGATGTGTATTGACTATACTTCTCAGCTTCCACATAACCACAGTAGCCACCTCCTTTGTGGTTTAGGGAATGTGACCTTAATTTCAAATTGTGTCTTCCACCAGGCAGTTAAAATATTTTTCTTTCCAAACAGGACAGTCCACTACTGCTTGACCAACAACAAACACTTCACTTTTCCTACCAGCTCTCTACCTGAGCAGCTTCGCAGCCAGAAACAAATTGTAGAGCTAATGGCCAACTACATGGAGCAGAACCTTATGGAGGTATGAGGATATGTTGGCTTTAAGATATGAATTTGATCAATCAAATAATAAATGATTGTCTACATTTAGTTTGGAAAGATTTTTAAAGTGCTGTTCTTTTGTAGTAGATTTTCTAAGTTGTCAAAGTGCAATTACACAAGTATTTACACTGACCTCATGTGATCTAAGCTCTGTTTTCTGTCCCTCTCAGGGTGGAGATCTACACTGTGAGGATCAGGTCTCAGCTGCACCTCCTCTGCTGCTCCAGTGGGTGAAGACTGACCATGCTCTTGTCATGCTCTTCAACAATGGCACTCTACAGGTTTGAAAATGCTCATAATCAATATTTAATCTTGGATACATTATAAAACAAGTAGCGCAACACTGTAAACACAGCTGCAAGTGACAAAAAGTTAGTCAGATGCCATTTAACCTGTTTTTAGTAAATGAATTATGGCCCTTGTTTTTCCAGGTTAACTTCTACACAGACCACACCAAGATCATCCTGTGCAAGTCATCTGATGACTCTTACCTGCTCACCTACATTAACCGGGAACGTGTCTCATACACTTACCTCCTCAGCATGCTGAATGAGATGGGCTGCACCCCTGAGCTGCGGCACAGACTCCAATACGTGGTCCAGCTGCTCCAACACCACACAGGTGCCTGAGAGTGCAGCTCTGTGCCTCCCAGGCTGCCTGAGTGGCAGATGCCTTAGAGGCAGCCTGACTGGTTGATATCATTTCTCAAGGCAGTGCCAGGAGGGGTTGACTGATGGATGAGGGCTGCTCAATTCCTCTGAGCAATATTCATTTCTGGACTGGTGCTTTGGCAGCTGATTATCAAATTGATTGACCTTGATAAACATCAAGCAGTCAGGAAGTTGCACAATGCGACACCTGCCTCGAGGGTTTGTGCCTGTTCAGCTTATGCCTCAAAGGTATTCACCTGGAAGGTGTTGATACCTAAAATAAAAGACTCTTTATCTGGCCTGAAATGATGGACCCCTCATAGGCCTAAATGAACATCCAAACTCCAGTCGTTTTCCCTCACTCACTAAGAACCACTGCTTCTTGGCTGGATCTTAAGCCACCAACCAACCCTACAGCTTTCAGCTTGCCCATGATGGCAGATAACCCAGGCATGGTTTCTCAGAGGTATCTAAACACTAAAATGGTCTTATTTGCCCGTAACAAAACAAGGATAATCTTGCAGCTGGAATGCTTTCAGGTTTCATTTTCCAAAAGTATTTTAGCAGCAAGGTCATTTACACTGTTGACTTGCACTGGACCTGTGCTCTTACAACAGAGATGCTTAAGGAAGAAGTGTGGTTGGATTAGCAAGAGACCCTCCTTCCCTCAGTTGGTTTGTGGTCACTTTGGTCCATGGTGCACACCTAATTTTTTTTTTTTAAATGGCCCAGCTATAGGATCACACTACGATCTTGACCACACATGCACAAATAACATTCCTGGCCTAATTTAACAATAGTGATGCTAAAGTTTGGAGAGTCTTCTCCTGCTCCAACATCACTTTTTTTTTTTTTTTTGGTTTGGTTTTGAGATAGCTATTAAATTTCACTGACGTGGTACACAGAATACTAACGGGGCTGTGGGAGCAACACAATTTTGCACTTTTTTTGTGAATTCATTTGGAAAGAGAAACGTTTTAGCACCACTTGTTGTGTATTTTATTTGGTTTTAACTAGATACCAAAAGATGTTTTCTTTGTTGGTTTTTAAAATGGTTCAGTTTTAAATCCACATACAGTAGGTGAATGTGCCACATGTGCTGGTTAACAAAACCGTTGGTTGGAATACAAGGTCGGGGGCGGGGGGTTAAAAGTGCCTTTCTGAGGGATGTCTGTATAGTGCAATAACAACCCTTTGTGAATGTCGAGCTGGATACAAACACGATTCAAGATGGGTTTTATAGGTGGGATTTACTTTTATACTTTAAGTCAAGTTTAAAAGTAAGTCCACTAGCACTACCCTCTCACTACCTGGTATAAGCTTTTAGAACAACTGGTATCATAAGTATATATCCCAGAAATATCTATTTATGGGGGAGGGGTGGAAGCAAACTTGTCCTCTGCTGTACTGTAACCCTTATTGGTTTACATTGTTTTCTCAACCCAGAATTGGTTCCTGCAAACTGTGACCTTGGAATACAAGTATTATGTACACATTTTCAACAACCCATTATGAAAGCCATCTGCCAATTCAGAAGAGTCTTTATTTTTTTGGCACATAATGTCCTGTTTGCTATTTATTTTTTTTTATTTATATGTGTATTTTTAATTTATTGTTGTGTAAATGTAATGTAGCCATTCCTTGACACAAGAAAATGTTCAGTTTCGATCACCTTTTTGTATGTAATGTTTTTTTGGGGGGAAATGGGGCAAAAATAAAGTTTACTGAAAATATTTTTATTGTTGCACATCATAACCTGCTTTATCATAGTTGATCATGTCTATATTTTACGAAGTCTTTGTAAAATGTTTTAAGTGGTATCTGGCATTTTTCTCAGCCAGTCATGGCAGTGCATCAGAATTATACCTTCACAAGCCAGCTTCACTGTAAAACTGCCGCTTTTGCTGTTAAATACCTTGTGGTTTCTACTAGCAATAGACTTGTGGCCTATGGCAATACTGTATCACCTTACCATGTTGATGCCTTGCTTATCTCTTTGAAACCAGCCTTACCTTCAGCTCTTTATCACAATGATACCAAGGAAAGTGGGGGATGGTAAGATGAGATGAACAAAGTATATAATTATAGCATTATCTCTAATGTAAATTAAAAATAACATGTTAAAACATGTATGTGCCACATAAAGGAAAAAAAAAATCAAACATTGAGGTATCAGGAGAAAATACTTGGTGACTTTTGTTCTTGTCACAGGACCCTCTCTCCTCAGCTCATTAAGTCTTGTAAATACAGTTGAGCTGTTGTTAGTGGCTCTGAGGATATAAAATGGTGGTGAATAAAATTCTTGTCTGGTTTTCTGTGCTTGGAAAGTTGGTTTAAACTGGTTTTAATGAGTGAAATCATCCTTTTTAAAACAAAAGTCATCTGCTGACTTTACCTTTTACAATTTTATGTAGGTATGTTTTGACAAGTAGTCTTTCTGCAAGGAGTCTGTTTGGTTCGGTTCAGTTAAATTTGTATAGTGCCACATCACAGCAACACTTAGAGAAAACCCAACATAAGACGCTTGGGTAGAGTATGAAAACAGTGATGGGACCAACTAATAAGGGCAGCTTTGACAAGGCCAGTAAACTTTAGTTGGGTATGTCATGACTGTTCAGTCTTGGGTTGACATTTTTTGGCTCGGGGTCAGTGCAGACTCCTGTTTATCCAGGTCTTGTGAAGCCTATTGCAGGATCCCCGACAAAACCAGAAACATTTCTATAGTTTTTCATGTCACTGTGGGAGACAACAGCACACACTGCTGACAAATTAGCAAATAAAAATGTAAGACAATAGATTTTTAAAGTCTACAGTTAACAAAATAAGTATGTCTAGACATACAAAGCACAGAATTTTATTTGTTCATGGAAACTGGCTATTATTCCAAAATAAAATTTCAGTTCTAATATGTAATTTAAAGTGCTAAAAGTCTAACTGCTACCTTTAATTGACTATGTGTGCTGTTTTTATTAAAGGAAAATGCACAGATATTATAAATGTAAAATAAAGATCTGGACAAAAAGTTTGTCTGTGCTAGAAAGGGACTTTTAATGTTAAGTTATTGCTAATACAGCTGTAAATAAATAGAAAAGATCAAGAGTTCAGCTTTTATTTATACAATAACAGCCAACAACAGGTTCAGTAGAAACCAAGCGCTGAGAGGACTATACAGCACAATGATGTAATGTTGTCTTGGCTGTGATGGAAAAACACAGCTTTATATGTGCTAGGAAGCTGGGCTGTCTGTCACTGGTTTTATTTTCAGGGAGAATTCCTAGGGAGTGACAAAGCTGAGATATGAAAAACCAAGGACTTAACAGGTTGCGAGCATATGGATTTGAACACAGACGTGATTTTGTATATGCCTTTACACAATCAGAAGTGGCGCAAATGTTCGCAAAAGCACATGAACAAAACTGACTCACACATGCAGTGAGTAACCAGCAGACATCACAGGTTGTCAGGCGAACGCACTAACAATAATGACACACTGTGAGTTGTTACTGTTCTTTTCAACCATGAACACAGAGAGGCACTGAGGGCCAGAGCAGCCTTGTTAGTGGGTTGGCTTGTGTTGTGTGAGAGTCAAAAGAAAATGGCTACAGATAGACTCTCTTGGCAGTGACTCTGTGCAACCCCACAGAGAGAGCGAGAGAGAGAGAGAGAGGGAGAGAGAGAGAGAGAGCGAATGAAATGTCATCAAACTTCCCTCCTGGTTGCAGACTGGAAACTGGGGCGGCAGCAATAGAACACAAGGCTGCTCTCCAGTGACTCTAAGGCCAAAATACGCTGATTCCACATTTTCAATTGCAGCGGGAGCCATTAACTTCCCTCCACTCAGCCAGTTATTACCTCAGAGGTGTAAATGAAAATCTCTGTTGCCAAATTCCATCTTAATTCTCTACTACAACACAACAAATGTAAACCTTTCTCAAAATCTCATTAACAATCCAACATCATATCTCTGCTTTGAATGTTAATGTTTAACCTCTAACTTATTGAATGTCAGTCAGGTGAAATGACATTTGTGCTGGTGTGATGATGGAAGCCTTGTAGATAGAGAGACAAGCAGATACAGAAATAGATGTGTCTGTACTGAGGAAACAGAGACTGTTTAAATTTTCACTGCTAAAGATACTGTTATGGCATAAACAGTTTGCTGTTCTCTGAATCTATTCATGGACCTGCCTCGTTGTCTTCCTTTTATTGATGCAGTGCTGTTGGTGGTATGTAGTCTAAAGATGTCCCAAATCAAGTAAAAGTAAACAATGTGGGTGATGTTAAAAGATAGTTCCTGTTATTTCTCCAGTTAACTTAGGCCTTGCTTTTGTAGCTCTTGCTATGCTTCAAGCAAATTCAGCAGTAGATAACAGGAGCAGCAGTAGTCGCAACAAAAATAAAGGAGAAAACAGTGTCGTAAATGCTTCTACTTCACTGGCAGCTGAAAATATATCACAACATGGTGTCTCTCAAAGTGATTCATAGGCAGTGCATGACCATTCAACACCAAAAAAAAGAAAAGAAATCATGAGTATATATATAGTTCACCATTCTTATTTTGATTGTGTTTTTTTAAACAGTGGATGAAGACAAAGAAGATAAAAAAAAAATGGTTAAAACGGTGTCCTTGATAAGAATTTGGGCTCTATTCAGGAAATACAATGTATTCTGTCACTTCCACAGCAGAAATCACAGTATCAGTAGTATACAGAAATATCAGCATCTAAGGATCTCTTCATCTTATTGTACATAGATGGCAATAGGCCAACTCCCTTTAGCAATATGACTGCATTCTCAGCTCTCTTGGCACAGTCATTTGCTGTCTTCTTTTCTCTTTGATTTTGTTCAAATGATCTTGTCTGCAAAACGATGATTAACTCGTCAAAAAGCGATGATTAACAGAGTTGGGTGGGTCATCGGTTACACCTGATGAGAGATAAAAATCAGAGTTCACCAGATCTATTGATCTAAATGAGGACACTTTATTATTGCAAAGGGAATCTACTGTGCAGCATGTCTGGACATGTCTGGGCAGGGCTGGTGACATGCAATTACTCTGTCTCTGTCAGAACTGCAGCAGCAGGAACCAGACTTAAATGCACTTTTGTATTTGTCGCTTTTGCATTACTGATCTAGGAAGAGTTTGTAATTCATATCATCACATTAAGCTGGAAGATATGTTGTTGGCATACTTATGGTTATAAGATGATAAATACCCCAATGTGTACATTCTTGATCTCCACTGATCCTGAGACAGCCATATTTTGGTTGTGTAAAGTAATATCTCTGTACAATAATAATACATGATAATGATTTATGCCCTAGTTTTATTAAATTAATTCCAAGACATCACTGATACTGCATCCACTAAACATATTGAAAGTGATTTTTTTTTAAACATTTTCTTCTGTGGTATTTGTTTTACATATTTGTATTATCAAGACAGAACTATTTCTTGAATGACTTAAACCATTCCAAACCAATCAAGACTTTAAACAACATCAAAACCTCAAGTTACCCAAAACAGCAGATGTCAGTTGATCCAGTCACTATTAATGCAGTTTTATATGATATAGTCCAATTAGCACTGATGTTCCCTTTGGCAGCATCCACAGTACTGTGACCAACACTGTCTGACAGACCTGCTAATGTTTTTTTTTTTTTGTTGTACCCTAGTATTTACATCTCTGCCTGAAAGCCAAATGTTTCCTGCAGTCCCCTCACTTACCTTTATCACTCTCGACCTTTGTGTATTGGTTTTGTTTGGTATTTTCCTTCTTTCTTGACTCGCATTGAGGAAAATAAGTGCCAAAAACTAGATGTGCTTTGAGAGCTAAGTAAGTTAGGGTATCTTCTATGTGTGGGGAATTATAGCTATTGTATGCAAATGGCTGTGATGCTCATGTTTCCACACGTTTTATAAGAGCTGTAAGAACACTTGTGATCACGTGTGCTGTGAGGATTATTTACTTTGTGGCCAAATTTTTTTTCCTTTCCATATTTACCCCCCCCAAAAAAATCACCAGCTGTGATCTGGGAAATCTTTGAAAAAGGGATGTGAAGCAGGGTGAAGTGGGTTCCATGGAAAAGGAGAAGATGTTCATCCCTTCCTCTGTTACTGTGTCACTGACCCTTGGCCACATCTTTTTTTTTTTTTTTTTGGCTGGGATATGTTGGAATGGTGCTTGTGCTGGCAGTTTCATGCATGATCCCACTGCTGATGTCACAATCCTCCCTGTAAAGGCTACAGTGAGCGCATCACACAGTTATGCACGTCACGCACCAGTTCTACAGGAAATGTGTGTTTCCTTTTCTGAGGCTCCTTCTGTTTCCCATAAAAGCACAGCGAAGAACGTCATCCACTCTTCTGCTCTCAGGTTGAAATATTTTTCTCTGTGTTTGAGTGAGCTGGATAACATCACAGTAATCCAGAGGTTGTTTCCAGCACTACTGAATCGAATCCTGGCCCAGCTCTTGGAAAAATGTTAAGAAAAACAACGCAGCATTTAGAAGCTACAGACTTTGTCACACTTTGTTTCTCTATTAAAAATGTGGCTAGTGTTAAAGAAAAATGATATCACCGGTGTATGTCTCACTGTGAACTCCCAATATGTTATTATGAGCTACCAGCAGAGTTGGACAGTTACATGATTTGCTAATGTGATACAGTAATTTGTTTACAGCAACTTCTAAGGCACGGGTTGCCAATCCTGGTCCTCGATAGCCACTGCCCTACTTGCCCTGGACACATCTGATCCAGGTAATCAGCAGTGGGTAGGGCAGGGATAGCTGGAAAACAAGCAGGGCAGTGGCCCTTGAAGAATAGGATTTGCAACCCCTGTTCTAATGGATTACAAATTGAAATTCAGTTATTCCAATGCACTTACTAATTTCAACAACATTGTTACCTTGACACTGATAACAGTTTGGTGTCTCTGCGTTCAGTGGTCAGATTGGGCCAGGATGGAATGTTTAGGTAATGTTAGCCATGGATACATCAGCTCACTGGAGATGGAGGATCTGTGGACTGTGTAGCTGAGGTCGGGACTTTAAATTCACAAATAAAAATTTTGTTAAAATATTATGCATTGTAATGTTTGAATTATCTGGATGTTTACATGAAAAAAAATACTTGCACAAGCAACAGAGTGGTTAGATTCATGCTTTAATATTTGTATGCTTATACAGTATGTTTCACTGTATAGAGATTC